CTCTGATTTTTGTGCCTTATGGTGTGAAGCTTTCGGTGCCTCCTTTTCCAGCTTTTATATCATCACCAGGATCTAAAAAATGAAGAAGATGTGGAGACTCTAGAAAGAGTGCAGAGGAGAGCAATAAATATGATGAGGGGACTGGAGGCTAAAACATATGAGGAACGGTTGCAGGAACTGGGTATGTCTAGTTTAATGAAAAGAAGGACTAGGGGAGACATGATTGCAGTCTTCCAGTATTTGAGGGGCTGCCACAAAGAAAGAGGGAATCAAGCTATTCTCCAAAACACCCCAAGGCAGGACGAGAAGCAATGGGTGGAAACTAATCAAGGAGAGAAGCAACCCAGAACTAAGGAGAAATTTCCTGAGTTAGAACTCATTCCTTAGCTTCTTATGACTATCCCTGTGTTGTTTGTATCTTATGATTTACATTAGTCATTTTTATTTAGTATCCTATTATGATTTACGCTGATATCCGGTGAGTTCTAGCCTTGCGTTAGGCATGAAAACCAGCTGGGTGAGTTTGGACCAAACACCAGGAGACTCTGAGTTCTATTCCCGCCTTGGGCATGAAAGCCAGCTGGGTGACTTTGGCTCAATCACCAGGAGACTGTGAGTTCTATTCCCGCCTTAGGCATGAAGGCCAGCTGGGTGACTTTGGCCCAGTCAGGCCAGCTCACCTCATAGGGGTGTTGGGAGGAAAATAGGGGGACGAAGATGTGTTGAATGCGTTCATTGCCTCGATTTATCTGAAAAAGTAATAAAGGCGAGACACAAATCTATCTATCTCTCCTTCCCTCCCTCCCTCCATTTATATATCTATATCTATATCTATATATCTATATAAAAGTGAAATGCCTTCACACATATCACAAAAACTCCAGAATTGTAAAGCCTACAAAGTTGAAATTTGGCACAGATATTCCTCTTGGCTTTTAGGTGCTCACTAAGAACGGATTTTTGGAAATGACCATCAGATCATTGTATTTCTTATGTAGCGGGGAGGGGGGGATAAAAGGAGGGTTTGGGAGGAAGGGGGGAGGAGACAGAGGGGGTGCAGGGGAAGAAAGGAGGGGCTTGGCTGGGGGAAAAAAGAAGGAAAAAGCGGGAAGCCAGGGGTGAGAGGAGGNAGCCTCTGGAGCGCAAAAAAACCAGCCCTACGGGCAAACCGGAAATTCAAGAATGGACTTCCGGTTTGCTCGTAGGGCCGGTTTAAGCCCTCCGGAGCCTTCAGGGGCCTTCAACAGCTCTACAGACAAACCAGGAGCCTTCAGGGGCCTTCAACAGCCCTACAGACAAACCAGCCCCTCTGGAGCCTGGGGAGTGGCGATGAATGGCTTTAAAAAAGGCTGAACTCAGCTGCCAGGGCAACACCTCGGGGGCCCTGACAAACAGCTCCTCGTGCCACCTGTGGCACGCATGCCATAGGTTCGCCATCCCGGCTCTAAAACTAGTGCCCAACCGTTTGGGCATCAGTTCCATGGGGAAAGGTTATTCTGTGGACCAAAGGAGTTTGATTTTGCGTGCTGCCTATATCCCATGGATGGGGCTTTGCTTGTTTACACAGCCTGGTTGCTGGCATGCTATGACCGACGGGGGTTGGGGGATCCCTGCCGTAGAAAGACGCTCACAGGGACTGAACGTGGGTAATTTACAAAGGCACACACTTGGAATTCTGCATCCAGTTTTGGTCAGCAGGATACGAAAAGGATGCTGAGACTATAGAAAGAGCGAAGAGAAGAGCAACAAAGATGATTAAACTGGAGGCCAAAGCGTATGAAGAACGGTTGCAGGAACTGGGTAGGTCTAGTTTAATGAAAAGAAGGACCATGGGAGACATGATAGCAGTCTTCCAATATCTCAGGGGCTTCCACAAAGAAGAGATAATCAAGCTATTCTCCAAAGGATCTAAAGGCAGGACAAGAAGCCCAGGATGGAAGCTAATCAAGGAGAGAAGCAAGCTGGAACTAAGGAGAAATTTCCTGACAGGTAGAACAATTAACCAGTGGAACAAATTGCCTTTAGAAGTCGTGAGAGCTCCATCACTGGAGATTTTGAAGAAGAGGTTGGACAGCCATTTGTCTGGAATGGCATAGGGCAGTGTGGGCGAACCGTTTCGGCACCGAGTACCGTTAAGGGGTATCTCCGTTGGGAGACAGAAAGTAGTGCAGCGGAATGTACAGCTAGAGAGAAGGAACGTTGCTAGCAGAAAAACACACGAATAGAGGTTCAGAC